TTTTAAATAGTTTAATATTTTTTAAATTATTTTTTTAAATGGATTATTTTTTTAAATTTCTCTATTTGTTTTCTGTCTGTAGCTATCTCTCCTGCCAGCTCTAGCTACAACGAGACCATGAGTACCTTGAGATATGCTTCAAGTGCCAAAAATATTATTAACAAGCCCAGAGTGAATGAGGTGAGGTCCTGAGTTCTGCTTTTTGTTCTTGTTCCATTTTGTAGTGTGTATTATTTAAGGTTTATCCATTGTATCTGTTCTCTGAATAAAATTCATACCTCTCTTTCCCATGTTAATGAGAGCTAAATAGGAGCCTGGATATTACAGAAATAATTTCCTTGATCCCCTGTAGCTTAAACCATTTAGAATTTCACACCTATTTTACATTCTTCATCTCTGTCCATTGAGTTTCAGTCCTCCTTCTCTTTGAATTGTTATGACGTGTATGTTTACCTTATGTCTTTATCCTAAACATCGGCAGAGATACAGATCTGTTAGGATTATTTGTTACTATTTAACCTGTTACTGTAAGGAACAAATGGGAAAAACATAAACTCTCCCAATCAAAAGCATGCGGTTAAAACAAATTGATTAGCAGTTGTGGAGGTTTTAGGCAATAGGGATGAGAACCAGTATAAACAAAATCCACGGGAAATGCATCATTCTGTCTGTCTTCACAGCAAAGTTCAAATAGTACATAATAATCAAAATCTACGGTCATATGTGGTAGAAATATAAAACTCTTGAACTGCCACTCTTTAGCAGAGCATTCTTCACCTGGCATCCCGCATGAGGCTGCCAACCTACAGGGATCACATAACTTAAGGACTGAATCACAATGTATCCATTTAAGGGGACTGAATTAAGGTTTAAAAGAAAGTCTTGATTCCAGCATTTCCTAATCTTTGAGCAGTTGACTTCACAACTTCAGTAGTGTTCTTTTGTGATTTGACCTGGGTGATCAAGATTTTATCCATAGATAAAAGGGTAGAATCTTAGAGAGATACTTCATTCATCTGCTTTCCTAAAATGATACTCTGTTAAATCTGGGGCAGAAAGAAACCTGTCTAATCCAAGGTTTCCCAAATTCAGTTTGCATCTGTATTACCAGTGCCTGTAACTAGTTTTTAGACATCACTAGTGGCAGCAATAGCGTGTTTGGTTTTGGCAGCAACCGTTCTCAACTCTGAGACAGGCCATGGGCAAGTAAACACGGTCCTCCTGGGCTAGCGTCTCAGCCTCCCAATGTGTGTGCCATCACTCTTTTGCACAGCCCATGCTAGATAACTCCATTCCTTCAGCTAGTTGCCTTCTTCCCCTCACTGCAAATTACCTAAGCCAAAGTGTCACTGGCAGCCCAAAGAAAGTTGATTCTTGACTCAAGATTTTCCCTGAACTGTCTGCAGAAAGCTGGTTTCCAGAAACTGCCTGTGCAGAGATGCTTATTCTGAAATTCAGTGAGATAAATGCCCCCACACAAGCAGGCAGGAAATTCTTTGTGTATCAGCTACGAGGGTTTTTAATACCATTGTTGGTGGCATTCTCACTTAGTCTTCTCTAGCCTGATTTTCTCCTCTGCCTTACAGAAATTACAACAGCATTTTTCTGATCTGATGGGACTATTTTGAAGGTAAATCCATAAAAGTAGTGATGTATCCAGCTATTGTCATGACGGGAATGAATACTATGATAGGTCTGCGTTCAGAAAAGAGAAGGAACCAAGTTTATAGGAAAAGAGAACCTATGAAAGATGGGAATCACTTGCCCCTGGGCAGAACATCCCAGGGGCCTGGCAGAGTGGAGCAAGGAGTATTGTTGCAAGTGTGCCTGTTCTCCTCTCCTCCTAACTCTTGGAACACCTCTGCATTGATTTCTTTAGCTAGGATTTGTTAAAGAATGATTTTTCCAACATCTGTTTCTCAATGTTTCAGGATGCAAATGTAAAACTGATCAGAGAACTTCGAGAAGAAATTGATAGGTTGAAAACTATGCTGATGAGCTTTGAACTGGTATGTAGGAACACTTCCCAACTGGAGTTCTAATGGTGCTTTAGGTGCTACAGTAGCTTACTTTCATCTTATCTGTTTATCTTTCCATGTTTATTGTAACTGGAGGGAAATTAAACTGTTCTTTGAGTGATTTCACAATGATTATAAGGCTAACTGCATTTCTGTCATTGCTCCTTTTTCTGGCATTATATTGATAATCCTGAAGTGTAAGCAGTTGTGTAATATTAAAAAGGATTTCCTTGCCTGTCTTTCATGGAGTTGGATGGTTTTGTTGTCCAGAAATACCATGAAATAGAAATATTTTATTTGTAGGGATATGGAAGCACCAAGACAGTACAGAATATTAATCATTGATGTAAATTCCCTGCCAGGTTTGTCACAATCCTCTTTTCCAAAAAAGTTAACTAGGAGACCTCAACAGTATTTTGGAGGTTTCACCCTGCCTGCACACTCTGTCCCCGAAGAGAAGAAGAGTACATCTATGAGCACTCACAATACAGCTGACACTCTTTGTGTTTTTCTCCTTTGGAATAATAATAGCATCTTGGTTTTCCATGCCATGGAGAGCATGTTTTACTGGGAGAGACTGGAACTACAGTCCAGGATTTATTTACACAGAAGTTTCTCTCTGTTAATGCTCTTTCGTCAGTTCTTCACAAAAACTTGCATGCAATAGCTAGAGAGGTGTAGGTTAGATGGTAGAAGGCAGCATCAAATGTCTGTGTATTTTGTCTTTCCTTCTCCTGAGCTCATCTTCCTGAAATCTTGGAGAGTGAAAGAACATGCCTGCCAGTTGTGAATAAGGAAACTAACATGTAGAATTTGGTTGCTGTTTTTTGTACAGAGGAATTCCAGTCCTTCTTGGAGCGATGACAGGGATGGAAATCTGACCGAGCTGGTTCTTCAAAATGAAATGAAGGTCTGTATCATCTATTTGATGCTCTAACTAACTCTCTCCTCTTTCACTGAGCCAGTGGGGAAAATGTTGCCATAGTTCTGAAACCACAGTGAAAATGGTTTTGTCCTAATCCTTTCCTAGTTGCTCTGAATATGCAGGAAACTGCCATCCTTAATGCACGTTGGGTACTCTCTACCATTAGTGATGAAAGTCTCTTGTCCTTAATGGGATACTGTCCATTGCATATCACTAAGTCTGCACAATCTACTCCTTGTTTGAAATCTGTCTCAATATATGATAGCAATTGATTACACAGAGCCTCTCTCTTCTAAGATAAACTCCTCCAATTTATTCAAAGGAAATTATTGTGCAGTCACCAAATTACTGAGAAGATTTGATCACTGGTGACCTGGAAAGGCTTTGGAGATCTTAAAATTAAGTTTAGCTTAATGGCAAGCAAAATAACGAGTTAACATGATCATGTATCATTCTGACATTTTGGCAATGAGTCTTCAATAGGTTAAACCTGTTGTTTTACTGCCTGTTGGTAGTACAGTTTTTACCCAATTTTTTTGTTGCCACAGAAATTTACTGCAATTAGAAATACACCTGCATTGCAACTGGTGAAAGAATTTTGCCTCCAGCAGCTGGAAAAAATTTGCTGTTCTTTATAAAGAAATTTATGTATGAGAAAAATTAACCTGCTTAGTAAGTGAAACCGTTTCCTCTCCTATTCTTTAAGATTGAGCAATTGACCAAAGACTGGACAAGTAAGTGGACAGACAGGAAAGCCATCATGGAAGAATACAGCGTGGACATCAACAAAGAAAAAGCTGGAGTAACAATAGATTCTAGTTTACCTCATCTAATGGCCATGGATGATGATATCCTTAGCACAGGAGTGGTGCTGTATCATCTCAGGGTGAGATTTTCTCACTTGTCTTATTTTTCCCTTGAATTTGAAAATGCTTGCTTTGGAAATGGAGAGTGGTTAAGGTGGCATTACAGCAAGAGCTATCAAACAGTAAAGGCCACAGCCCACGAGACACAGATAACGGGAAAAAAAGCAGAAAAGGATACATGAAAATGGAGGAGGAGGAGGAGAATTTATATATGGAATAATAAGTTGAGCTCTTATGAATGCATGTGCAAACTATTTGATAATGTATCATAAGCAAAGCAAAATACTCAAATTAGGCATTAGTAGTTTGTCCACAAAGCATGAGGACAGGTGTGTATGTGTGTGTAAACGTAAAGGATGGTGCTTAAAGTATACCAGACATACTGGTCCTGATTTTACTAGGTACTTGTATACTTGAGACTGGAATACTTGTATATGTGTAGATTAAAGATAAAAGTAAGCTTTAACAAGCACAAGCTCCCTTTGGCAATGACTTCTATATATTGCTTTTTTAACCCTCCCAGGCCTGCTAAGTAGATTCCAGGTGTGTAGCTTGAATGCTAATTATTTGAGATCCCACTTGAGTGGCTATTTTCCAGGATCAGGTAGAAATCCTGGCCTCATAGATATTGTTTTCACAGGCTCATAGAATATTTTGCTCTGTAGCTTCTCATTTAAGGCAAGATTTTCACCAAGAACCTTTCATAACATTGTATGCATATTAGTCCACACTGTGGCTTATAATGCGAATAGTTTTAGGGGATTTTCTTTTTTTTATTAAGTCAGTGCTAAGCTGGACTTTTGCTTTTTAATGTTGTTTAAGCGAATGGAAATTGCTGATATACTGATGCTGTTTAACGTAAAAGGAATGATGGATGGGCATCTCTACAGAGATGCACTGATTAGAAAAAAATGTGCTAAATATAGTTGAAAATCATTTATCTGTCTAATAATAAAATATCTTAGTCCAAATCTAGGTTTTGTGCTACTTGATATAGTTTAGGGACACAGGATTTTTTTTCCTGTTAAAAAGCCACAACAAATATTTGAAACAGAATTTATCCTGTTCTTTATCATGTTGAAAGAGAAACCTTACTAATTTTTCCTCATGCCAGCACAAAGAAATTGTGCCAGGTAATAATTAGGGACCAAGGAATAATGTCCATTGCTGATAAACATGCAGCATGAACTACTCAATCCTACATTAACATTAAATATTTATTAAAAGTGATTGCTACTACTTAAAACATTACATTAAAAATGTTGCCATTTTGGAAACTGCAAATACTTTCACATACTAATTTTAACAACACATAAAGTAATTTAAAGATATTTGTTTTAATGGAGAAACCTAGTTTGAAGGGTCACCTTCTGAAGTCATTAATGTCTCTGTCACACTAACATCTTTGTCCCCTCTTTCTTTGCTCCTAGATGCTGCCTTTTCTTTTCTTTGTGCTTTGCATCTTTTAGACTCTGGTGTCTATTACTTTCATCTGAACAGCAAGAAGGTAAAACATTAGCAGTTCCTTACATATTAGGGCTTCAACATATATCAGCACTTTACATTGTTCTTCTAGAGAGAGGTCATGGCAACAGTTTTCACATCATGTAGAATAAATATTGTATTACTCTTTTAGTCTCTTGATGTTCTTGATATTAGTTTAATTGCACTAATCAATGCTGTGCCTATGCTTAAAGAAGCTTTCTTTGTTAGGTTCTGTTTTTTTCTGGCTTTTATTAACAAAAATACGTTTTCCCTATAATTTAACTGACTTTTTTGCATAGCTAAAAAATATGGGGATTTTTTTATATTGTTTTAGAAAAAGATGCACTTCACAAACTTTTTTGAAAGTTTGAGTACTCTCAAAACTGAAGGAGGAAAGCAATCGCACTCTTTATGGTTCTATAATGCGCCTTGGGAATTCTACACTTAGTCAGGAATTACTGCCAGAAGAGGGTAACAATGTAAAAGCACTTCAACAGGTATGAAGATGTACCTCAATATGTTAAGATGAAGTTGCATATCATTTCATCTGAATCATCTGTCTTTTCACTTTTTCAGGTAGAATACTCAAGATTAAATTAGGCAAGAGTATAACTATTTAAATTATTAGCTCAGTAATAGGATTTGAAAAAATGAAATCGACATGGGCCTGGGTTATGGCTATTTTTGTTTTGTTTTCTTCATTAAGTGGAGTTAGTTTGCTTGTATCGCATCTGTACCCTTGCTCTCAGCTGCCATTTTTAGTTGTACTTAAATTCATCCAGAATCACTCCACTAACTGGGATACTATTCTGAATTTCATGAGCCAATACTACTGTAATATAATTTTCTGAATTAAATTGTATCAACAGAGAGTTATTTCAGCATATTGGAAAAAAGTTTATTTTGGAATTATAATAACTATTTCTTTGCTAAGTCCAAAAGATAATTGATTTTAGGAGTTGGTTTACTTCTCTTTGTATAAAATACATGTTGCTAACTCACTTGATTGTGTGAGGTGAGTCAAAGGCCATATGGATCGTAAGTTTTCTACAAGTTGTGACCAAGCCAGGTGGATATTTTGTGGTTGAGTCCACTGAATGTTAAGCTGACATGTAACTTGATAATTACTCCAAAGCAGAGTCACTGGGCACAATCCAACTTTCAGCCTCTCTAGCAAAGGAGTCTCAGCAGGGCTTATAGCAGAGGGCTCTGTTAGCTGGTTCAGATCGCTGAGCTCTGGGAGGAACTGAATGATAATCATTCCCTTTCCCTCCAGTGATCAAAACCACTGTGATTTACCCATAATTACCCATAACTGCATGATCTTACAGTAATGCACAGCTTCCATTTTCCCAGTCTTCAGGCTTCTAATTACTACTTCTGGCTTCATCTTTAAATCTAGGCTATATTATGCTTGGAGCAGAAAGCATATTCAATTTATTCTGATCAGAATACAAAAATCAAGTAGTTTAATGACTATAATTAATTTTAATATGACTGAAAGAGTTGCCACAAAAGTCGTTTTAGAGCACATTCACTAATGAATTTACAATAATCACATACAGTGTCTCTTCAAAGCTGGGAAATTATCTTTCTTTGTTTTCCTAAGGAAAAAGATAGAACCAGTAATGGAACATACTAGACAGGTGGTAAATTCTTTGTTTTGTTTTGGTAGTTTTTGCTCATAATATTAATTAAATTACTCTTGTTGTATTCATATTTGCACTGTACCATGTGAATAATGTCTCCTTTCCATCACTGACCCATAATATGATTTGAGTCTGCTTGTTCTGGAGACTTTTGTTCCTAGGCAGTCCTTTTCTTTGAAGTTATTGAATCTGCAAGTTTGGGAACTTGCCCATATACCATAATCACCAAGAAGACTTTTTATAAATGTCATTTAAGTTTCAGACAAAAGTTGTCCTTTAGTAATTAATTTGAAGAATTCGTAATCTGTGACAGAGTTCCTTTACAAAATATGAATTCTGTTACTTTTGTATCTGAAAAGCCTAGCTAACTGAAGAATCATTTTGCAACTTCTTTCTTGCTGCGTGGATGTTTATAAAAAGAATTATCTCATTTCTTCAAACAAGTCTCACTGTAAAAATTCAAAGCATCATAATGTGTGTTCATATTCAAAATATTTGTCTCAAGCATAGTCCAAAAAGTCATGCACTGAGGGTTATTTCATCTACTGGAGTCATAATAAGAGAAGCTGACATAGCTGCAGGATAAGAAGTAATTACATCACTATGGGGGACAGCAGACTGAAGTATTACAAAGTAGTAAATGGAGTTTGCTGTGAACAATTCAGTCATTCAGAGGTGATTTATTTCAAGGTATTTGCTAAGATGCTGTACCAAAACTTTTTTAATTATTATATAATCCACTTTCAGTAACCAACTCTTAAAGTAGTTCTTTTCTTGTTTTAGGAAGGAACAACCAAAATTGGAAGAAGTGATTCAGACCAAGATCAAGACATTGGTAAGAGAATGATATTACAAATTATTTTATGATATGGTCAGGTCAAACCAAGAGGTTTACCTTTGTCATGTGTAATAGCTAGGTAATATTTCTGTTTGTCAGCTTTCTTTATAGAAGAAGATAAGTAGAAGAGAATACTTTCTTAAGTTTGCTAAAATCTTTCAGTTATTTTTTGTTTTTCTTTAGGAGGTCAAAAAGTCAATGGTCTTGACCCAATTGAGATGTCTTCAGAATTTTCTTCCCACTTGTGAAATGCTACGCTAGAGTTTAAAAGTATCTTCATCTAACATCCAAATCTTGTTATGTTCTATCCTAAACTAGTAGCAAAAGTGATCATGAGATATTGAAAATACTTTTAAACTGTACTTGGGCAGAGTATTTTAGATATAAAATCCAAATTATTCAGATTTTATTTTTTTTTTCATTTCATTTCTGCTCTTAATTTTAAGAGTCAATCTCAAAAGCTACAAATTACAATAGAGAGTTGAAACTTTCTGCAATGTTTCCAATTCTATTATAATCTCATCTTTGGTTAGTTCTGCTAAATTTGGTTGAGTTGGATTATTTTCTGCCCATAGGTTAGTAAATTATAAACAATAAATGCAATAATAGCGACAAGAAAATTCAGCATAATAGAAGAATTTGCACATCAGCTCACAAATCAGACAGTAGTGTATAGTTTTCCAGAACCAGAAATACTTTAAAAGAGCACTCTCACTATTTTAAATCAAGTAAGTTTTTTCTGTGATTGGGTACTTGGCTAGCAATCAAAGACAACAATTTAATCTGCACATGACATAGTTGTCTGAGGTGTGAAGTATGCAGTCATAGTGTCAAACAGTGCGTGGTACTTCCTTCTGAGGAAAATAGTGCAAACCCAACCCCTTCAACAGGTGAGATAAATCTATGCATTTTAGTTTTGCAGGGTCGGTGGATTGAAAGGGATCATTGTATAATAGACAACAACAGTGGGATTGTAACACTGCGACCAGTTCAGGGCGCACACTGCACTGTGAATGGATATGAAATCACTGGATCATGTCGTCTGTCACAAGGTAAGGCTTGCTTTTTCAGTGAATGCTGCATTATAATCACCTTACCTCTGGAGTTTAGAGACAAGGATTTATGGAACTCATATAAATCTAAGAAACACATCACTCGGTCTCATCGTGCTGCCTTGCACCATGAGATTTGATCCATGGCTAGAGCTTCCAAACTGGGACAAATAAATTAAGTACCCCATAGAAAGTAAAATGAAGACATAGGTGACAATATTAAGACCCCTTTCAGCAGCAGCAGTCTGTAGCCTTCCGAAAAGGGAAGACTTGCAATATGGTTGAACTGACCTTCAACTTTTTCACAGTGTGTTTAAGTGGAGAGTACTAGGCACTGAGTCATAGGCTATGGTGAACATGCTCAGATGAAATGGATCAGGCTCCCATATTTTCAGGTTTTTTAAAACAAAAAATTCAATCCAGTTTCTTGCAGTGATCTGGATTCTTAAAAAGATAGTGTAAAAACAAGTTTCCAGCAGTGGGTTGGTTATGTTTTTGATATGAGGTCATGCTGGTCTTTAATATGAACAGGGAATTTACTGTTATGTTGAGTTTGCAGAGATCTTCAAGATTAGTTTGCTTGGATGCTGTCATTACAGAATGATAAATCAGCTGTTCCATAGTGGCAAATTTTAAAAATAGTTCCGTGCTCTGTGGTGGTCAGAAAGCTGTTGGTCAGAATGTTTTTTGGTTTTTTTTTTAACATACTATTCTGTAGTCATTTGTAGGTGCTGCAGTCTGTATACTGGAGTTAAGAAACTGCCAACATTCTAGGGACCAACTGTTTGATTAATTACATCTCTGTAGATTTCTAATAATTTTTGTTCACAGGGGCCCTTGTTGTCCTTGGCAAGTCTCATAAGTTTAGATTCAATCACCCAGCAGAAGCTGCTGTCTTAAGACAAAGAAGATCAGTAAGTTCTAAAACTGTATTTTTCTCTCCTAATTCTTCATTGATTTTCTTAATTATTTTCCTTCTTAAAAGCAAGCCTGATATAGATAATATTTCTTCTCATCATTTTATTCACTTGCTTCATTTCCTCCGTCTAATGGTCCGTAATGACACTAAACCTTTTGTGGGAGGACACTAGTGCTTCTTTCAGATGTGCTTAGCAAAAAATGATGCAGATCCCCTGAATAATTTAGCGTTTCCTATTTCTAGTCATGACTACGGTAGAATTGAAACAGAAAGGCAGAATGCCGCAGTGAAAAGACCAGTTAAGAATCTTTCCACATTTGATAATTTTCTGAATTATATTCTTTCTCTGTCACCATCACAAATGAGTTATACTAGAAGAAATGGAAAATTTATGGGATTAAGTGCTTCAGTATTGTTGACTCTGAAAGCACTTAATTGTTACATGTATCAGAAATAGAAAAAATATTTTGTGGTATGTTAGTCTCGGGAACTACTACTGCAAGATAATATTTGGTCAGCTAGTCCAATAATGTTTCAAAAAAAAAAAAAGATAATTCTTAAAATGACTGGCATATATAACTAAAAAACTTAAAGAAGGTAAATTTTCTGGTTTAGGACGTAACGATATGTCTTAATAACTGATATTGGCAAGAATCTACCTTTTAAAATGGATTCTCATATAGTAATGATTTATACTTTCTGCTCAACTGTCCTTTTGTACTCACTTCTGTAGCTAAGGGGCTTAACTTCCATTTGTTTTCATTCTTAATTTCTTGATTAATGAAACATGCAGTACATAAAAACAGAGCTATGAGAAGACGTGTACTCAGTAACAAATACTTAGCAATTTTGCAAATTATCAAAGACTAAGCAGAAGTGTAAGTGAGATTATAAACTCACATGGGAGGTGTTATGCAGCATTGCATGAAGTAGTTAGCAATGGCAGTATTAACGATAACTTGGAAGTTCCTGGGTTGCTGTGGTATTTTTTTCTGCCTGTTGTCATGTTGTGTGTTTTGTAGATTAATGAAATCCCACCCATTATGAGTTGTGGAACTTTGGACTGGCTCAACTTGGATGGAAGTTGCACCCATTCTCCTCACTATATCCTTTCTTCTCTTGGCAAGTGAGTTTAAAACAAACAAACAAACAATTTCTCATGTGAGATGATGTCTGAAACCAGGATTTGCTTCAGACAGAATTAAGTTGTATATAGAATAGGTCCCATCATGTTTTCAAGTGATCAAATAAAAGTGTTTGAGAAAATGCATTGGTCAACTAACTAATATACAGTGTTATGATATCCAAGCAACAAACCTGAAAAATTCTTTATTGATGCACGATGAATATTGATGCACAACCAAGACAATGCCTCAGATGAGACTGTCAGACAGCCTTAATTCAGTTCACTTGCACAGCTGCAATATATCTGTTTTGATTTACGAGCTCATCGATAATTTTTACAATATTCTTACTTCAGTGCACAGAATGGACTTTTCTAGATATGATTTAGCCAAGGTAATTATTACGACTTCAGTTACCCTTCTAATTTGTTGTGGAAATCAGAAGGTTTGTGTGTTCATAAATTCCCTTTAGTTCAAGTCCTCATTGAGCCCTTCATCTCAGAAAGCCATTGTGATTCTCTCTTTTTTTAAAACTGAGCAGTAAATAAGGCATAGACTGCTTTTGAAATGTTGAAGAGCTACTTGTACTCACAGTATCTAGTGTATGCTTTTCATGGCAGAGCCTTTCTGAAAGGGAAAGGATTGGTGTGAATGAAGATGATTAGTATGTATCAGAAAAATGAATTTAGGTATCTCCTGTGTTTCAGTTCATAACATTGAAAACAGAATATCACAGAATTAAATGTAATTGAGTTCTTTCTCTTTTTTAATTCCTCTCAGCCTGGCACATTCAATTGACCTGTTAAAGGCAAGAAACAGCCATTTTCTCTTTCCTATCTGTTGATAGTTCTGCTTCTTGCTAGAGTGTTTTGGGTGTAGTAACATGCTGGGAATCTTTTATCTCTTTGTAGAGGAAGTATCTCATCTTGGTTTTTTATGAGCATAAAATGTTATCTCTATTTTGAATGTCTCTTCATACTTCTTGTCAAGAGGCTTGCTTTCCACCATGGATAGTGTGTTTCTGTATGTTCTCTTTAATGTATCTAATCTCTGCATTTGCTTTTCATTTGCTTCAGTGATACCTTTCTATACAAAATGGTATTTAATTTTGTTTCTTTACTGAGGTACATTTTACACATCACTGCTGTTATTTTCTTTGTAAAAATTACAAAGAATTTAAAAATAAAGATTGCTGTCATGACCTTCAAAAGTAGATACCAAGTTGCTCTTTACATGGGTATAGACATCAGAGGTGGAGCTTTTGTCACAGAAATTTGTTGATGGTCCTGAAAAACCTGCAGAAATCCCGAAGCATTGTGAACAGTTTAGCACAGAATTGCACTTGGTTTTCCCCTTTTTAACCTGACAAAACTGAAGAACATTTCTGATTGATTTTTTTTTTTTTTTTAGACCATGTTGAGGTAGCAGATTTGTTCGTGTTAATCAATTTTTTAATCATTTGGACATGACTGTGCATATTACATTGCTTAACATTACCCTCGTGCTTACCTAGAGTGTTTCAAATGGTTGCTTCAGTGAAAATGAAAAGCATTATGGTATTGCATTTGCTTGATTTTTATGAATGTCCATCTCTCACAGGAATAAGCTATAAACTATGTCTAATATTAGTTGTCTTTCATCTTACATAATCCAGTGGTCTTTTTTTCCTCTTGAATACTTTTTGGCAAAGGTAAACTGAATTGATCCACTCAGCCTTCCTTTACAGTAACCAGTAAGCCTGTGTTTCTGTCCAGACAAGTAGTTTTGCTCATGGAGGGGGTTATGATTGAGACATCTAGCCTAAGATCTATAATATAAGATGAGATATATGTGGTCTCTCAAATGTCCAGCTTTCGTGAAGAAAAGTGGCTCTCAGTTACTAAAAGGTGTGTCTGGGGTACTTTGCAAACAGTAATACAGGACTGAGTGGACTATGGGAGTGCTTATTTGCTCATCAATAAAAAGTCCACCTAGTGCAGGGTCTTGTCTCTGTTAGAAAGAGATACTTAGAGGAAAATATAAGAGCAGGGCAAGCTCTCTGTGTGTGTGTGTCTCCCTCTCCCCCCTCTCACGTGATAGTTCTTGATGCTCTCCCAGCTGCTAGCAATCTGCATCTTAGAGTTTTCCTCTACTGAAAATTACAATAAAATCTTTGAGTGTAATAGGCTCAGTGAAGTTTTCTTGCCTTCCTTTGAATATCTTTATGATTTCCAATTTTTATTTTTACAGTCAAAAATGTAGAAAATGTAAAGAAAACAAATGTTCTCCTGAACTAAGGTAAGAATATTAATGTGTCTAAATCACACTGAATTTTTTGGCCCCTCTAGATTTTTCTTTCTCCTCTGCTACACTGATTTCCTCCAGAAGAGATGCGAACTATGCTTCAAACTTTAATTTGATTTTATCATATTGAAACAAGAATCTGTACACGCAGCTGAGTTATAGGCAAGTGTCTGCAACCATGTTCTTTGCTCATACTCGATCTTGTGCAAATGGTTTGCACCTTTGTTGCATGTGTAACCTGTATTTTAAAGCCATGACTAGAGTGGAGTTTATGCTGAAGCTGACACCAATTTACAATATATAAGAACCCTGAAGTATATTAAATTTTCTGTCAGTAGTAGATACTGTGAATACTTATTAGCATATTGAAAATTCCTTGGACAGATTGGGTTCTTTTCTAGTAAGAAGAAAATGGCTTTATGGAAGAGTCCAAAAATGAAGTCCTAGCATAGAACATGATTCATTCATGCAAAGCAGCAGAGCAGCTGCACACAGAAATCATTCAGAAATTGTTGGGCTTCCATGGCTTCAAGTACTCTTTAGTCAGGAACTGATGATACGTTGCTTTCTTCTAGATTTTTTTATTTCAGAACATATGAACATATATATATTATGGTAATGATTACTTGCAGTTTTATCTCCCATCTCCATATCTCCCAGTATGATGACATTTTTCTCATCTGCTCTTCATGGGTTGAATTACCAGTTCAACCTCTAATTGTATGTTAAACTCTTTGCAGAAATTAGAGACATAACAAATTTCTACCATTGCACCCAAATATTTAAACTTTAGGCATGAAACCTTCCTTGAAAAGGGGTGTAATTCATTGTACTCTTACTTGGCTGCTTACTTGTACACTCTGCTCGGGAGACCCCCAGCACTTCAAACTTCTGAAGTTTGTTCTCAGCCAGCAAACACATGGAACGCTTGTGACTGACATCAGTCATAATGTGATAGCATCACCACAAATAAGTAGATAATGAAGTTTGTACTGCTATCATTGCCTTAATACCATACTGCATGCAAATATAAACCCTGATATTGTTCTCTTGCTGGTTTGAAAAAAAAAACCCAAGAGTTGTTCCATTTTCCTTGAAAATACCAACATTCTTAAACCAGAGGAAAAAAAACTTCATAAGAATTTGTGAAATTCTACTGAACTGGAGAGGAAACAATGCCTGTAGATATGGCATGTGATGCTGGAGAACACAACACAATTATTATTCTAATGTATAGTTAACATATCCAGCTAATATTTGTAAAAATAATACTCTGAGTTCTTACTATCAACTTTCATTTGAGAATTTCAAAGTGCTCTACAAATAGAAGTTAAAGAAATCTTTTGGATCTCCTCAAATATTTAATTTCAGAGAAATGGATTGTGTCAGAGCAACTCTACAGCTTACAGCAGAATCACGTGTAGTGGGTTAGCAGGGGAACTAACTGATTCTATATATAACTGAAATCGTAAGGGGAAAACCTGTGATAGATTGTAGTTCCAGCTGAACTGGAATTTAGCAAGGCAGCAGTGACCTTTACTGGAGTGCGTGGCTGTGTCTTGTGCCTGTGACTCTATGCCAAAAAGAGGTCTGTTTTAGATGTGTATTTAAAGAGTTGCCTTAAATAAGTTGTTGCCTTACTGTTGTTTGGGGGGGGCTTAGGCAAAGAAAAAACTTGAGGTTTTGCATGGAGAGGCTAAAAAACCCTCAAAAAAAAATAATGCACAGGCATGCTTTTTCTGTAAGCAAACCAGCTAATCAGAAATCCAAATGATAGTTGACCTGATGGTAACTTCTGTGAAGGGGATTACTCTGTGTGTGTATTTCCAAATGTCCCTTATTTCTAAAGGTTTCTGACTCTGCTGGCTGTTTTGACTGATTTCTGGTTCCCACATCCTGCTCACTACCCCCCAACTTTTGCTTTGAATTGTGCGAGTGGCATTGCTTTGGGAGGCTGGAGGAGGTGATACACGATGTCTTTGTATCTCCTTCATTGCTCTTCCCCTTGCTTTAGGGAGGAGAAGGGAGAGGTTTGAGCCCCTGCACTAGGCAGAAGATGTACGATTCCATGCAGCTGCGTGGCTCCTGCTGCTGTGTGATGCTCTCAGGCCCTGAGGGAAGGGCCTCGGATTGGACACGGGTGGAGGGGGGAGGATGGAGTGGGGGTGGATGTATATCAGTGGATAGGCTTGTAACCCCGACTTGTGATTGCTCTCAGTGCTGGGATTTGCAAGTGTGTAAAATGCCTTGCCAACATCTTTTTTTCTGCTTTATTATTAACTCTTCTTTCCCTGGAAAAAATCATTTGTAAAAGAAAAATGGGACTTGAGCACTAGGCAGACAGGAGGACTGCTAACTTCACTGATGTTTTCTTTGGGAAAATTAGCAAATTGCAGCTTTTAGCAACAGTGGTTATTTTCACTTGAGTTTCTCTATTTGAGCCTTAAGATGTTGTTGCAGAAGGCATTCAGCCTCACCACAGAGCTATTGCTGCCATAGTTACTGAAAACTGCATTATGCTGTAGCAGCCGCCAGCCTCTGCATCAGCAGTAGAAGTGTTTGGGGAAGAGGGGAGGAGAATTGCACAATAGGATCCCGGAGAGCTGACGACAAAACAGGCTGGAAAAAATGTGGATTTACAGATGGTTCATTTAGCATGCGTCATGCAAACTTTGTGGAGAGAAAAATGAGATGGAAAACCAATCCAGCAGCATTGGTATAATATGAAAATTTTCTCAGTAATTTGTGATTATCTTTAGTTTAAGGTTGGTGTCTTTCTGTTGTTGTAATCTTACTTGCTCTTTTTTAAGGTTTACTTGGAGGAGAGGTAACTGTTGACACTTCTTGCTGCATTTGGTACACCTAGAAATCTGCATGCTTTTATGAAATTCTGTGCAGGGTTGCTTTTTTTTTTTTTAATATGCTGCATGCCAAAGTATGCCAGTCCTGTGAAACCAAGATTTTATGTATGTCTTGGAACCTACAGAAATGAAGCTAGCTGTCTTATGTTTGTCCTGAGGTTATATTATTTCCTGCTAGAACTATATTGAGTGTACATTGCTTATGTGGGAAGGCAGGAGGAATACAAGCAATAGCAGAAATTGGTCTGCGCTTGATTCCTGTAGCTCATAGTATTCTTGCATTTCAAGTCTAAATTTAACAGTGCATCTGATTTAAGATGTTTTAGATGAAAGAAATCTCATCTACCTAGTACAGAATATGGCTAAATTCTTATGTTAACTGGATTGATATTTTATTTTAGTTCAATCATTCAAACATGTATTACACAAACTGTTCTTTAAATTGTCTATTAGGTGATTTAGCGATGAAGTGTGTGTGAATCTGTTATTTTCTTTCTGGGCCATTGTCACCTCATTTTTTAGTTTAGTTTGTCATGTTATTTCCACAAACCAGCAAGAATGTGTTGATGTGACATAGCATGTTCGAAGGTAGAAAGGGAGCATTCTTACTTCATGTTTTTGGTTTCAGCAGTTTCTGTGAGAGGCAGATCTGTATCCCAAACCAGCCAGTCATTTTGCTCTCACAGCCAGTAGTCTGACAGCCAGAGGAAAAACATCTTCTGGCATACCTGTATTATGTAAGTGGCTCTGCATGAATTTTCATTATCTTTTTGTTCCGCTTGAGAAAACCATCTTGAAGAAGCAACTTCATAAAAAGGTGTTTAATGTTCAGTCTCTGTATTCAGCCCTGTCCTTACTGCCCTGCCTGGTTTTTGTTTTGTACTGTTAAAAATTAGGAGATGAAGCAAAGAGGCACTGAAATAGCAGCAGAACTGCAATTCGTACATACACAGCAACAGTATTTTATTACAGAAACTTTAACCTTAGAGAGAGAATTATACCAACTGGCTACACCACCAGAACAAAAGCAGTAATAATACTGTAATGGTTGCTGTGCCGTGTTTGTTTTTCCAAGGTTTAAAGTGAGGTATGGGTATGCCTCTGTACTCTGCCTTTTTGGGGTGTAGTCGTAGTATGGAGCTGTGATTAATACCATCAGTTTGGCCTGCATCATGTTCTGCTCCGTATGCAAACACATATGCCTGTTGGAAAGGATCTTACAGTTTCATGTTAGTTCAGCAAAAAGCCATTACCACACACAAGGGAATATGCTAGTGCTGCTGAGAACAGCAACAACACACTTCCATGTGCGTTGTTTGCATTGCTTATGTTCTCATACTTTATAATATATGGGGAGTGAGGTGGGGTGTGTTTTTCAGCATTGTTGGAAAGTATGAGAAGACCTTGTGACCCTCTCCCAGCTGTAAACAGATGTTACCTAACCACCTCTGCGAGCCTGGTGAGGTCTTTGGATTGAAATGCAACACTGAGTTGTTTCATATACTTAAATGTTCTGGGTTTCAATTTGTAAACAGTTTGAACTCTGATAGGTCAATTTTATGGAAAGGATGGCTGATAGCTAAAAGTGAATATGAGACATTTTGTAAGAGGAATTTTACTTTATCTAGTTTTAGTAAACAGTTGCAGAACAAAAATTCTTTGTCTACTGTTTTACTATCATGCTCTGCTTTTTAGCCTTATTGGCTAAATTTTAGCCTCAGTTTCCTCAAACTCATACAGAATGGTGGTAGTAATGATAAATGAGTAGAAATCAGCTCTTCTGATACTTGACTTTCTGGTATTTGATAATGTTAATGGATCCTCATCACTCCTTTTACATAAATGTACTTTCCTTCTTTCACATGTGTCAGACTAAGCGGCTTGCCCAAGGACTGCAATTGTCCAGTAACAAATTTAGACTCACATTTTTCAACTTTCAGACCACCATAGGAATCGGAGCTTTTATATGTCTCTTAGCAAAACAGGGTAAAGACTGCCCCATCATCAGAGTACACGCAGAGACTTAACATTTACAATTGCTATTAAGGTTTATTAGTTTTAACGTATCAGCAAGAGGTGGCTTCAGCTGGCATCAAGGCCAATCTGTTAGGATCAGTGCATAGGCATCCAGAGGCAGTCCTCGCCCTGAAGACCTTGCAGCCTAAGTCGTGAAAGCACAGAGGTGATGTAACTGCTCCAAGATCTCAGAGAGGTTTTGTCTCAGATCAGTGCTTTAACCTCCAGATTATATGGCTGCTCCATTACATTTCCCTTAGAAAATATGGAAGATAACCTGGAAGCCGCATTCAGGGAAAGCTTCCATCAGAGTTATCATTAAAACCATGGGTGCTTTTCCTAAACGAGATCCTTCAGATTTAATACTATGTTCAAAAAGGGATTCTTCTTTAGTTAACCAATCTAGCTTTAACCTCTGAGTTTGTCCCCCGGTAGTTGGTGGCATTACAAATACCTGAACAGCTGGAGATTTGTAATGGCCACACGAGCGTTTCAGTGCTGCAGTGAAGTATCAATTCAAACCTACTTCAGCTAAATGAGAAATGAGGTATCCCACTCCTATTTCCTGAGGATCAATTATAGTTTATCCGAGAGGAAAAAATTACAAATCACGGATTCTTGGCATCTTTGTAGTCAAGCCAAGGACAAATAGATCTTGGAGCTGCTTGTTCTTATAATTTGTTCCTGTGGGTCCCAAACAGACACAAACCATTTAGCAGATGACAGTAGCAAAGTTTGTACCCTGTTTGCACCATGCCAGACAATCGAACAGATGATGTTCCTTTTCAGTTAGTCTCACCAGCATTACATTTGTATAAATATTAAAACCAAACTGAATTCTGTTTTCCTCAGGTCAGTGAAAGAGAGTAACAGTAATATTGTAAATTATTGAGAATCTTCAGGCTTTTTTGTAGGGAGGCTTCTTAAGAAAGTGAAATGTATGTTCCATGTAAAGGTACTCCAGAAGATTTGTAGACTTTGGCTGCTTAATTGTTTCATCTGTTTTGTCAGCTAATCTAGCACACAGAATCAAAGTTGTTGCTGTAGGAATTGTTGCTTTGAACACATGCTTACAGTTCTAAATAGAGATGTCAAATTAATTCCAATGTAGCAAAGGTCAAATGCTCTTTTCATACAGGTGACCTTGTATTGGTAATGATTTTACAAACAACATGATGTTTCCAAAGCATTCCCTTTGAAATTATATTTTTGTTTTCTTTTGACCTTCAGGGACTCTTTAGAGTTTTGATACCCTTGCTTTCTTTGAAAGAATAATAAATACATCATTATAATGAATACATCATTTACTTGATTACTAAAATATATTTTAAAACTTTTTTCAAGACTTAAAGATTTAATTTTCTGAGGTTACATATAATAACGTGGTGTTTAGAAGTAAAACAACATGATAATGTGTGCACAGGTAGAATATATATTCCTTTCAGAGGGTTAATGTATTTTGAATATTATCATGAATCATGCTAAGAATAGGTACTATTCTGGTAGTCTGTGTGTGTGCGCGCGTGTAAAATTTTGGCATGCAGTCAGGAACCAAGGGTTCCTGGAGAGGGCTGTAAGGCAGTTTTTCACAGGTTAGTCACTTTTCTGATCGCAATTCTGCTCCAAATATAGAAGCAGTAACCTAATATAGTTGTTGTATCCAACAAAGAATTGGGTGATCAAGTTCTTTCCTTGGTAGTGCCAGAGACTGTCGGTGTAATCTCAACAGTGCCTGTAACCCTTTCTTGGTTGATATTGGAGATATTTTTGATCTGAAAACAGAGAAAAATTTTTGTAATTTCTGTAAAGCACTTTGAAGTACTTAGATGACAAATATCCTCTATAGTGGTTACAAAATTTTATAACATGTAAACAACCCTCTCTCCCCAATTTCATTTTTGGAAGATCTACAGCAAAATGAAAAGTGACAGTATTTTTAAAATTCTTTTTACTATTACCTTTCCGATGATGGAATTTTCTGCTTCACCGCAAGAGCTTTCATGTTTGCTGGCATTTACGATACTTACAGGATAGTAGTGTGCTGTGACATGCATATACGCAGCTACTTTACCATCATGAATTTTTGTCATAATGTACCCTTATTGAACAAAACAATATCTTGAATGTTGTCTGTCTTTCTTTAGTAAGATGACTTGGTTTATTACAAATGTTTGGTATTCGTTTCTGGTTTAAATTCACTGTCAACATTTCTAACAGCAGAGAAATAGATGCTGTGCATGAAGAGTACAAGCAGAAACTGAGAGACCAGGAAGCTTTCCACATAAAACAAATTCAACGGCAGCAGCTCTATGTTGAGGATTTAAAGCAGCAGATCCTGAGAGGACAGATCAAAGCAGAGCGGGAACTAGAAAATGACCAAGCACTGATCAACCAGCAGATCCAAGAAAGTGGGTACCTGCCTTTTCCCCTCTCTCACTTTCTTTCCATTACTGCATTCTTTGATCCTCTTGATGTTTTTGTCCTAGTTATGCTTTATATTATGGGTGGAACTTTTATTATGGCTTATTACTAGTTTTCTTTTATAATTGCCTTTCCCTTCAGACCAGTTATTAAGCTTTGATTAACAGGACTAAAGGGCCTCCTTAGCAGTGCACCAGCAGCACTGTTTAATTAGCTCTGCAGGTCACTGCTGGGAGAGACAGCACCAGCATGCTGCTCCCCTGTGGCACTGAGCCTCTTGTCCCCAAAGCTGCTCCCTGTCCTGCCTCCCTGCAGCTTTGCTCTGCTCTTATCTGTAGTGCAACTCTGCCATGTTGCAATGTAGGCTGAGTCTGCTGTTGTAAGTTTTTCTTGTGATATACCTGTGCTTCATCCAATGAGTTGTTCTGGGAGATTGAAATTGAGATGACTCTGGTAGTTCCTACCACAAGTTTTCAAGGGAAACTGCTCTAACAGGATGCGATAGGAACAAGCAGCACTTCCAAGACAGCGATGTGTGTCAGTTGAGGTACTCTATGTATTTCATTGATGATGTCACCTATAACAGTATAGACTGTTTTCACGTGCTTTTATAGAATTTCACTCATTAGGAAAAATAGGGCTGTGGCATATCACCATGGCTCAAACTGAATTTTCTGTGGTTGCTGTGTGAGTTTTAAACAATGAGAATACATCTGAGAAGTAGGTGGAACACTGAAGTTCAGAGATAAAATCCCAGCCCCAGTTAAGGGAAAGAGAGATGCACTGCA